TTGGATGAGGATAATTGTGTCAGTAAATCCAACAAAAATGCTGACCTTTAATGGCTTACAATCAAGCCTGAAATTATTCACATTCCTGGCAAATTCTGACTTAAAATGACCTTTTTTAGTCAGTTAGTTTTATTATTCACTATAAAGGACATGCACCGGCTTCTCCCAAATTAAAATAAGATGATTTACAAAAGGCATCATTTTGGGAAAAAAGTTTTTCTACTTATTCTTCTCGATATATGAAAAGAGCATTGATATCAGAGCTGTCTCAGGTTGTATTGTTTTTAAACTATTGACAGCTCTGGGGTTTAACGGATTCAGATTATGACATGAAAAAGTACCCGAGGCACTTCTTATAAAAGATCCCAAGCTGAGCAGGTTTTAATTTGTGCTTGGATTACTTAAATACCTACTGTACGCATTCACGCATGTGCAAACATGCAAAACATCACAACACCAATGATTATATAAATTACTGTATTATTTAAAAAACTTCATGTGCATGTTACTTTGTTTATGATTGTTAGCATTTTTATTTACAGTTTATTTCTATGCTTTTGTGCAAATGCACGAATATTGAGTTACTGATGCACTCCTATGAGGATAATTGTGTCAGCAACAAAAAATGCTGTCCTTTGATAATTTACAATTAAGCCTGTAATTATTCCTATTCTTGCCAAAGTCTGACTTAAAATGACCTTTTTCAGTCAGTAAGTTTTATTTTTGACTGTAAAGGACACCGGCTTCTGCCAAAATAAAATATGATGATTTACAAAAGGAATCTTTGTGGGGGAAAAAAAGTTTTTCTACTTGATCTCCTCGATATATGAAAAAGAGCATTGATTTCAGAGCTGTCTCAGGTTGTATTGTTTTTAAATTATTGACAGCTTTGAGGTTTAACGGATTCAGATTATGACATGAAAAAGTACCCGAGGCGCTTCTTATATATATAATATCCCGAGCTGAGCAGGTTTTAATTTGTTTTTGGATTACTTGAATACCTACTTTACGCATTCACGCATGTGCAAACATGCAAAACATCACAACTCCAATGATTATGTAAATTATTATTAAAAACCTTCAGTACAGTATATGCTCATGCTACTTTGTTTATGATTGTCAGCATTTATAATTACAGTTTATTTTTATTGTTTATTGTTTATAGTTTAACTTACTATCAAGCCCAAAATTATTCATACTCCTGTCCTGGCTTAAAATGACCTTTATTCGACTAGCAAGTTTTGCTTTTGACCAGAAATAACACCAACTTCTCCTAAAAGATAATAAGATGATTCACAAAAAGCATCATCGTGGGAAAAAAAGTCTCCTTGATAAATGAAAAGAGCATTGATTTCAGAGTTGTCTCAGGTTGTATTGGTTTTAAACCATTGACAGCTCTGGGGTTTAACAGATGCAGATTATATAACGAAAAAGTATCTATCTATCTATCTATCTATCTATCTATCTATCTATCTATCTATCTATCTATCTATCTATCTATCTATCTATCTATCTATCTATCTATCTATCTATCTATCTATCTATCTATCTATCTATCTATCTATCTATCTATCTATCTATCTATCTATCTGTCTATCTGTCTGTCTGTCTGTCTGTCTGTCTGTCTGTCTGTCTGTCTATCCATCTATCATCTCTCTCTCTCTCTCTCTCTCTCTCTCTCTCTCTCTCTCTCTCTCTCTCTCTCTCTCTCTCTCTCTCTCTCTCTCTCTATATATATATATATATATATATATATATATATATATATATATATATATATATAATATCCCAAGCTGAGCAGGTTTAAATTTGTGTTTGGATTAATTGAATAGCTACTGTACATTTTTAAGAAAAAATGAGGACTCTGAAAGATCTCAGTGAAGATGTTTATTCAGCATAGCAGTCTCAAAGTACACAGCAGTACCCTGATTTATCTGAGTCAAAATAAACCCCAACATTCTTTCAAGAGTTCACACTTAGCTGACGATTGATTATAAAGTTTGTTTGGCATGCTGTCCCAGGAGAGAGCCCTGAGCTTATAAGATCCTCGAGCCCTGGGATCCTTCTCGTTTGCAGGGCTAAAGGGGAGTTTGAGCTTAGGTAGGTCTCGAGAACTTCCCTGCTATTTATAGCTAATGGCGAATAAGAGATTGCTACGGAGAGATATTCTGCTGATTAGGAGCTTGTCTATGCTAATTTGGTTTTGTTCAATTCACCTATGTCGCAAGTTTTTGGACTGTAGGAGAAAACCGGAGAACCCAGGGGATATCCACATGAGCACGAGGACAACATGTAAACTCCACACAGAACCATGGACTGGCCTGTTAGAGACTTGGACCAGTGACGTTCTTGCTTTGAGGCAACAGTGCTAACAACTGGGCTGCTGTGCCGCTCTTTCGAGGAAATGAAAGGAACTCTGGCGGCCTATGATGAGTTAGGAATTGTCTGATTGGTGAATCATACATAGGCTAATGTGGGACCAGCTGTAGTCAGTCATAAGCACGTGATTCTCTCGAAATTAGTTTATAAATAAACTTCACTAAACTCCAACCGTTCATTCTGTTTTAGATGTTGCCTTTAAACTTGCCTTAAGATGTTAATAAAGTTGCTTTTTGGTTGTTGACAAAGCTAGGCATAGGACGATAACCGTTTTCAAGGTATACCCCGGTTTGAAAAAGTCAAGGGTTTAAAACCACCAATATTTTCTGCTATACCGTTCCTAAGGTATATTTAAGATTTTTTATTTATTTTTTATTTTTTTGTTTTTTAGGACAACAGCATTTTCAGCAGAAAAGAGATACAAAAATGCTTTTTAAATTGTAAAGAAATCTGTTTTTGAAACTAATGAAGACAGCAGAAGTCGATCATTCATTGAAATTATTAAGCTTGACATGTTTTCTGTTCCAAAATATTTTTTCAATGTTTCTCAAAATAAAATATATTATGTTTAAAGTTTTTGTTTTTTACTAAGACATTAAAAAAAATAATATATTTTAGAGTGGCAATCACAATACCATCAAACTGTGATATTTTTATCAAAGGTTATCATACCATCAGAATCTTATACCCCATGCCTAGACACAGCTGTTCTCTCTATCTCTCTATGTTAATGCAGTTTCCACTCCATTGACGAGATGGTTCTCTGTACCACATACTCATCCCCATTTTACAATAGCTACATTTGCTCAAGATGTAGTCAACTCAAACAATGCAGAGACAACAAACTGTTGACTTATCTTTTCTATCGTAATTCAGCCCTTTTGGGAAATGAGCATCAACACACAATTTAGAGTGGAAGTTGGGTTAAGGCAGACTCATTTTTTACACATTACAACCAGTGATTATGTCAATTATTATTTAAAAAAAATTCAGTACAGTATATGCACATGCTACTTTGTTTATGATTGTTAGCTTTTTTAACTACAGTTCATTTCTATGCTTTCTGTGCAAATGCACAACAGTTACTGATTTACTCTGATGATAATTGTGCCAGTACATCCAACAACAACAAAAAAAAAAAAGACTTACAATCAAGCCCCAAAGTGTTCATACGTCTGGCAAATTCTGACTTAAAGTTACTTTTATTCAACCAGCTAGTTTTTTTTTGACTGTAAATGACACGTAAGATAATAAGATGATGTACATGAGGCATCATTGTAGAAAAAAAAATGAATATGAATCTGAATATGAACTGTACGTCTGTGATTTTGTTTGTGCGCACTTACATACGTGTGCACAATATTTCAACTCTTAAGAAAAAAATGCAATTACCAAAGGCCCATCAGACAACAAAGTTCTCTTTCCTATCTTTTGCTCTTCAACATTTCAGAGATAACTCCATCTTAAACTGTCTTGTTTTTAGACCAACAGTGCTAGTGATTGTATGCCGGATGCTGAGAACAAACAATGTTTTATGCAGGATGAGTGGAACTAAAGATGAAACGTTAGTTAGCCGTAAGCCAGTTTCAGTTTAGACACTAGTAACCCATCGTCTCAAAGAGGCTTTTGTCGAATCGGACCGGTGACGTCAAATGAACTTTATAAAGGCATAAATTCATCGTTTGGGTAAAAAAAACAATATGAGAAGAGCAATCCCCTCCCACCCCCTTAAATACATTTTGTGTCTTTTCTTTGGCATTGACATCTTCAGCTGGCCAAGACGACTGGTCAGTTCTTGCACATCACCTAAATTCACAAAGGGAATACTTTTTTGAAGCTAACACATAGTTGAACATGTTGGAGATGCTCGAGTACAGTCACTACCAGGTGAGATGGGATTTTGTGTGTTAACCTTGAAGAAAAATATTCTTTAACACATATTAAGACGTAAGCAGATTAGAATATTCATTTAATCTTCTGTATGTTTGCATGCTTGCATATTTATAGACTGAGCGGTTATAAAATACTGATTTAACATATTAGGTCTCTAATCTTTTTTAAATATAATGTGTTGTTGAAAATATTATTCATATGTGCCGTAATAAAGGGATATCACACACAAAATTATAAAACCTGTCGTGTTTGTCACTGTCCATTTATTCTAAATCTGTCTCTTTCTTCTGTTGATCATAAAGATATTTTTTGAGAAGGTTAGAAAATGGTAGCCATTGACTTGTACAACTGTATATTTATTCTTAATTTAGAATGTAAATGGCTACTGGTTTCCAGTAATCGCTAGATATTCTCTTCTTGTGTTTAGCAAAGTAATAAAAACCTCATAAAGGTGTAGAATCACATCAGCATGAGTAAATTGTAATTGCATTTAAATTTTATGGGTGAACTATACCTTTAAATAACATTAGAAACATAAGAAACCTCTTTGTCATTGCCTTAAAATAGCTAAATTAGTTTGATACAATCCAACAGCATTAATGAATTGCAAGACTAAACATATAATTGCAATAATTCCACTTTAAGATGAATATACCGCGATATGCAAAGTAATATTTTTGCAGTAGTAGAATGTGAGCTTATTGGCGTTATCTCTGTTTGTGATTCAGGTTCAGACCCACCTGGAAACCCCCTCGAAGTACCACATCCAGCAGAGCCAGAGGCAGCAGGTGAAGCACTACCTGTCCAGTGCACTAGGAGCCAAGCTGAGCCCACAGGCCAGCACAGGGCCCGGCCCCAGCCAGCCCGCCGAGCACGGCATGACCCCGGGACCCGGAGCCAGCGCTCCCAACAGCCCTATGGCCCTTCTCACCCTCAACTGTGAGAAAGAGGTACATGCACGAACTGGCAAATGATAAATGTTGAATGATTGTGACGCTCTACATTTGGCCAAAAATTGGTGCCAAAATGCTGTGAGAACAGTGATTTCAACACTTCTTACGTCTAAAAGAAGTCATTTATGACTTTATTTGGTCCAAAATACAGTTAAAGTAAAAAAAAGTTTTGTAATATATAATGTATTTAAGCAAAATTTATTTTAAAAAATAAGCATTTATTGCATCTTTTTGCCACTCTTCACTGTATTAATATTCAGAAATTGTTATAATATGCTGATTTAGACATCAGTAAACATTTATTACCATAATTACCAATGATAAAAGAAGCTGATACATCTATTTTTGCAAATAAACAAATAAATAAATGCTTTATTAGCATTATGAAATGTTTTTCCTTTCACTTACCATCAATTTTTAAATAGATTATTGGTAAATAAAAGTATTAATTTATTTTAAAAAGATGATAGACAGACAGACAGACAGACAGACAGACAGAAGGATGGATGGATGGATGGATGGATGGATGGATGGATGGATGGATGGATGGATGGATGGATCGATGGAAGGATGGATGGATGGAAGGATGGATGGACAGATGGATGGTCAGATAGATAGACAGACAGATAGGTAGACAGACAGACAGACAGACAAATAGATACATAAATAGATACACAGATAGATAGACAGACAGACAGAAAAGGTAGGTAGGTGGACAGACAGACAGACAGACAGACAGACAGACAGACAGACAGACAGACAGACAGACAGACTCAAAGTAACTCAATTGAAAATGAAAAGAATTGAAACAATGCAAAAGTAGTTAAAAATAAAAAACACAAATAAAACAAATAACACTCACCAAAATTGCTAAATTATTGCGTACATGTTTAATTTGAAAAATGTTAATAAAACAAATACATAAAGAAGACACTGTAAACTATATAAAAGTTAAGCATAAAAACAAATATTTTAATTCAAAACAAAAGAAAAAAGAGTGCTCAGCCAAGTTACCTAAGATTGTAATCAAAGCAAAAGACAACAACTATCAATTAAAAATAAAATAGTTACTCTGTGATGTTAAAATAAAACTACACCAAACATGCATGCCGAGGCCTGTTAGCCATCAAAAAAAAAAAAAAAAAAAAAAGTTATGTAAGTCTAAATACTTTCTCACTAATTCTTCAGAGAGATGCTATCTTGTCTGTGACTGATTGATAATGGATGTGTGGATTGAGGTTCCCTTCATGAGTGCAGGTTAATACAGATATAGGTCTGATTAGTATTTTGGCACCTAAGCATTAATTACAAGATGACACCAAATAACTACTGTACATTCTTCTTTCATTTAAATTTGTTACAGATGGACGATGTAATTGAAGACATTATAAGTTTGGAATCAAGCTACAGTGATGACATTCTTGGGTTCATGGATGCAGGACTTCAAATGACAAACACGGTAATAGCCTTAAGTATGATACGAACATTAGAATCATGCACATTTGTTTCAGTTAAGATAGCCTGAACAATCAGCACATGCAAATAATCATTTATTATTTCTCAGATTCCAGTTTCAGCAAACCTGCTGGACATGTACAGCAATCATGCTCTTCCTCCAGCTGGAGTTTCCATCAGTAACTCCTGCCCCTCAAGCCTGCCGGCCGTCAAAAGGGAATTATCCGGTATGTATTCACATTGTCTTGTTTACCATTGGAGATTACAATAACGTTTGAGTTTAAATGTCCAAGCTCACCATGCTGAGGAATAGAAGTGTTCATATTGGGTGCAGTAATGAATGCACAATATCAATCAAAGATGTATTATATTATTCAATAGTTACTCCATCTCCGGGCATGATGCACATAATGGACAAAGCTGGACCATGTGGCAAGTTTGACTCTTATCAAAGACCTGATGGCTTTCCAGTAGGTATGTTTTCCTTTTCTCAGCCTATGAAGGCTTTATGCATGAATAGTGTTATTCTTTGTTGTGTGTGGTACATTCTTTGATAAACTGAGATGCATATCAACAAGTTGCACATATGAAATTACATTGACATACATTTCAAGAAACCAAAATGGCCTTTGTATATAAATTTCACAAATTTCTTATGCAAAGCAACACTTTTGAATACATAGGCATCCTAAGCAAGAAACTGTGCATTCGTTTTGTAGTTTTAGTGAGAAGTTGACTGTGACAGTTATGAATGAAGTTAATGCAATGATTCATTTCAGAAGCAGAAGTCAGAGCCCTGGCAAAAGAGAGACAAAAGAAGGACAACCACAACCTCAGTGAGTCTGATTATCACATTAAATGTTCATCACATTTCAAATATGTGATGAAACATCTTATTTTGTTTATTGTGCAGTTATTAATGATAATGTCTCGTTTTTTTTCATCCTTGCAGTTGAACGAAGAAGGCGGTTTAATATCAATGACAGAATTAAGGAGCTGGGGACTTTAATTCCCAAGTCAAATGATCCGTAAGTTTCAAAAACCACTCTATTAAAATTCAAATTTGATCTACTTCTTGATTTACTTAAGTCCAAATGTTATATTTTGGTGCCTGTGGTAAATAAAATTATGGATTAATAAATAAAAGTGATTTTATATATAGAGAAAACATTATAAATATTGTTCCATCATCATCAAATTTATAATATGGATATATTCTTTAAATAATTACATATTTGAATAAATATATAAAGAACAAATTATGATACTAAATTGTATTATATTTCAAATGAATAAAAACATTTAGATGACAAATAGGTAAAATCTAGTGGTATAGTATAGTATAGTATAGTATAGTATAGTATAGTATAGTATAGTATAGTATAGTACAGTATAGTAACAATTATATTATAAACTAGGGATGTCCCGATAAGGTTTTTTTGCCCTCGAGTCTAAGTCCGAGTCATTTGATTTTGAGTATGTACCAATACTAAAACCCAATCTGATATAAATCCCAGCAGGCACACAACATCGTAAGACGTTGATATTAGGTTAGATTTAGGTTGTGCATCAGGTGACCAAAATACAATGTCTAGCCAGCGTCTGAAGACAATCTTATTTTGATGTTCAATAACGATGTTAAATTACGTTGATATTTGGTTGACTTTAGGTTGTGTTGGAACCATAATCTAACGTCTAATAAATGTCATGGTGGTAACGTCCACACAACATAAAGGTGTAACATTTTTAAACGTTGATATTTAATTCAATCTAGGTTGATTTTAGGTTGGACATTAAACATTGACATTGGCCTGACATTGGGTTCGGACGTCAACCTGATTTTCATTTCCAAACAAAAGCCAACGTCCTCATGACATTGGGGTACAACGTCAATGTGATGTCATGTTGACGTCCTGTGTCTGCAGGGATAATACATGAACAATAAATAAAGAACAGTGAAGAAACAGGTCCAGGATGTTCCTTATTTTTTTATTTAATTCACCTTATTTTTACATTTAACAACTCTGTCAACACACAGAGCACTTCCGTGAAATAGCTTGAATAATTAACTAATAAATAACACCAATTCTTCACTTTACATATCTCACAGTTTGTTACGTCATCAACTTTATAATACCTCAAGACCATTGTTGCTAGATCAGATATGGCTGTGGCCGGAAGCTAACAAGATTTATTTTCTGTATTTTTTAAATTTTCCATTAATCATATTCTACCCTTACCCCCACCATAAACCCAACCGTCACAGTTATGTAAAAACAGTAGCTGTACTGAGCATTATTTATGTTATTTATTAAATTACCCAATAAATTGTATTTTATTAAAATCTACCCCTACACCAACCATAAACCCAAAAATCCCAGTCCTGTAAAAAATATGAATTATTGTTATGCAGTCACACAAATGATGCTATATTAAAGTGCGTATCCGCAGCTGTATCCTACGTAGACTTTACCACATACTCGCGATTTCCGCTTCAAGCTTCTACTTTGTCTGATTTTAATCGATAGCGTCTAAAACAATGAGATGTCATGCCGCACACGTTGTTGTTCCTGTGTGATGTCAAGAAAGAGGTCTAACTCTGTGCCATTGCATAACTATAGACGTGTTAAAAATTATGATAATATATATGATATACATCGGAAGTCAACGCCCAATCCAATCTGGACATCCCTGTTATGTATAAAATGATTCTTGATATAAACATACGTGATCTACAATAACCAATACAATACAATAACCTTTTATTGCCCGTCTTGTTCTGTAATTTGAGTTACGAATGTATGATAGGCAATCAATTTTACTCTGAAAAATAAATCTTATACTTTATCCAATTCTACACCAATATGTGAAAATGTAATGATTACAGATCAACAGTCTTGATTTCTTTTTCACAGAGACATGAGGTGGAATAAAGGCACCATCCTGAAAGCATCAGTGGATTACATTAGGAAATTGCAGAAAGAGCAGCAGAAAGCAAAAGAGCTGGAAAACAGACAGAAGAGACTAGAACACGCAAACAGACATCTCCTGCTCCGTATTCAGGTAAACCCAACGATAAACAAAAAACACACAAGGCCATTGGTTCAAATCTCTCACATGAGCTTTGTGGACAAGCATGTTTCGGTTTGCCCTTTCACAAAACGCCATCTGTTTTTTTGAAGTTGGATGGCGAAGCACCAAGCGTGACATTGCTTTAAAAGCTTATCAAGCATGCTCAGTGCTTCAGCTGCATGAAATTCAAACGTTACACTTAACTAATCAATTAAGGGGAATTTCCCTCACTTTGACACATGGCATTTAGTTCACAATAAACCTACTGTTTACACACACTACTTTTCAAGCATACATGCATTTTTGTGAATAAAGCTTTGTTATGCATTTGTCATTTTTGTTTGTGTCCAGGAACTTGAAATGCAAGCCCGTGCTCATGGACTCACCGTTGTAGCTTCTTCCAGCCTTTATTCCGCTGAGTTAGTGGCTCGAGCAATCAAACAAGAGCCTGGGATGGGGGACTGCACATCCAATTTGTACCCACACCTTCCCAGTCCTGACATGTCCCGTCCTACCACTCTGGACCTCAACAACGGCACCATCAGCTACAATGACAGTCCCACGGAGGACGGCGAGCCGGGGGTCTACGACAGCCCAAACAAGGCCTCCACCAAGCTGGAGGACATGCTTATGGACAACACCCTGTCTCCGGTGGGCAGCAGCGACCCGCTGTTGTCCTCCGGATCCCCAGTACCTTCCAACAGTAGCGGCAGCAGCAGTATGGACGAACATGACAATGGCTGTTAGCAATGCCAACTAAATTTCATGAACCAAAGTTAGACAATTAGATTTGTGTGTGTGTGTGTCTTGTAAGTACCAGTGTTACATCCAGATCATGAAGAGCGCAATTTCGTAAAGTATTAATCTTGTATTTCAGAATATTTAGTGTGCTTGTGTATATATTTTTTCATTTATCATGTCAGAGTCTAGTCAAGAATGAAATCGTGTAAACAATTAGTTGATTTTTGAAGGATTCTCGCGGATGATATAAAGAGTAGCTTGAATAAAAACTGTTGAGGTGTCTTTTATTTGCAGGCTTGGCTTATTGTTGTCCTCAAATGCAGCTCCATTTCTTGGGGTGTACATCTTGCAAGGGTGGAGGACATGTCTAGGCATGTACAACTGGATTCACTTTCATTCAGTCATTCATTTTCTTTTTGGCTTAGCCCCTTTATTAATCAGGGGTTGCCACAGTTGAATGAACTGCCAACTTATGCCAACAAACAAATCCAGCGGATGCCCTTGCAGCTGCAACCCATCACTGGGAAACACCCACCACAGTACCATTCACTTTAGACAATTTAGCTTACCCAATTCACCTATAGCGCATGTCTTTGGGCTGTAGGTGAAACTGGAGCACCCGGAGGAAACCCACACGAACATGGGGAGAACATGCAAACTCCACACAGAAATGACCCAACCAAGTCTCGAACCAGCGACCTTCTTGCTGTAAGGCGACAATGCTACCCACTGCACCACCACGATGCCCTGGAAAAACTTTTTACATTGTTATTTAACATTAAGTCCAAAAGTATTTCTGCAGTATTTCTGAAATTTGTTTTATTTTCTAGTGGAAGAGCTGTGATGCAAGTTCTCCATAATAATTAGAAAAAAAATGCCCAAATTGCTTTGATTTTAGGGATAGTTCACCCAAAAATGAATTTTTTTTTATTAATTAATCATCCTCATGTCGTTCCAATTCCCTGAGACCTTTGTTCATCTTTAAAACACAAAAAATGATATTTTGGATACAATCTGAGATCTTTCTGACCCTCCATAGGCAGCAGAATTCGCAAGTCGAAGTTCATAAAGTTCCCAAATACATGCTTAAAACAGTGCATGTTTCTTCGGTGGTTCTGTCATAATGTTAAAAAGCTGTGAGATTTTTTTGCCCAACAAAAATAAGCAACAGTTTCTTAAGTGTTTTCAGGGATAAAGGGCATGCCCGTATGCAACTTACTCTGTTTAAAACAAAGCACAGACAAATCTGGGGGATATATAGTTAAAGTCAGAATTATTAGCCCCCCTCTCAATAATTTCTTCTTTTTTTAATTTTTCCCAAATTATGTTTAACAGAGCACGGAAATTCTCACAGTGTGTCTGATAATATTGTTTCTTCTGGAGAAAGTCTTATTTGTTTTAGTTTTTTTAAAAACCATTTTAAGGTCAAAATTATTAGCCCCTTTAAGCTATATATTTTTCGATAGTCTACAGAACAAACCATCATTATACGATAACTTGCCTAATTACCCTAACCTGCTTAGATAACCTAATTAACCTAGTTAAGCCTTTAAATGTCAATTTAAGCTGTATAGAAGTGTCTTAAAAATATCTAGTCAAATATTATTTACTGTCATCATGGCAAAAATAAAATAAATCAGTTAATACAAATGTGTTATTAAAACTATTATGTTTAGAAATGTGTTGAAAAAATCTGGTCTCTGTTAAACAGAAATTGAGAAAAAAAAGTGGGGCTAATAATTCAGGGGGGCTAATAGGGGAGCGCGGGGCACAGAGTAACGTGGGGTTAAATGTAACACAGTTTAAAGGTATTTGCTCAGGGTTAACCATGGCATGCTTCTAAGGATTTCACCACAGTGTCAGCAGATGTCTTCCTGCAGATTACTGAAAAAGTTCTGAGAAATTTGGATGAGAGACACAGGAGAAACCATTTTTGTAGCATAAAAGTATTTTTTATTATTGTCGATATTATTTTTTTTTCAAAAATCTGTGAAAGTATGTAAGTAAAATCTTATACTGTTGTGACTATTGTCTTCTAGGCTAAAAGATTAAACCATTTGGAAATATGTAAAAAACACACAGTGACAGTGACTGCTGCTAGCCAGTTTTGAGGAAAACATGACACAGCGGGGTTAGTTGTAACAGGGTGTTATAAGTAAGCCACACACTACTGGAAACCAATTAAACCAAAAAAATAATGTTTTGAATTATGAGTGTAACATTGAGAACTTTTTATATAAAAAAAGCTTTTTAATAGAAAATATTGTTTTAATAGAAAAAAAGCTAATAATGCAAATAAATGCATTGTATAATAATGGATAAATTGATAATAATGCAAATAGATTCAAATGTGTAAGTCTAATAGATAAATAAATAAACCTGCTGTGCTATGTAGAATAAAAAGAGCCAATTAATCAGGATATATAGCTACTATTTAAAGTGAACCGAATTTAAATGAATTGTGTAAAATCTACCTTTATAAGCATGTGTTACGACTAACCCTCTGTCTGTTACATCTTGACCTGCAGGTTGGGTAAATAGTAACTATTTTACTCCTTGCACTTTTAGCAATACTACACAGAAACCATATGTCCGGCGATCATAATTTTAGTGCTCATTTGTAGGAGAGGCTTGTGTGTTATTTGTAAATATATATATATATATATATGGTTTGTCTAAACATATTACTTTGTTCATCATTTGACTAAAACCAAAAAGTGTTACTTTGTGCCCCGCTCTCCCCTAACTCTGAGTTGAACTGTACACCAGCAACACAACACACATACTATACAGAGCACAGCGCAGCGTGAATGCATGCCATGAACTGAGAAGAAAATGTTGAATAAAGTTATTTTTGTTTTTTGTGCACAAATCATTCTTGTTGCTTCATAACTTTACGATTGAGGACTATTTTGAGGATATTTTTGGTACCTTTCTGGACTTTGAATGTCTTGTGACTCCTGCTGTCTATGTAGGATCAGAGAGCTCTCATATTTAATTTTAATTTTAGAGTGAACGATCCCTTTAATATTTTACTACCGCCCTGCAGTGCTCTATTACTCAAAACTCTTGTTTGTTAGGCCCTACTTTTACGTATTGATGTAACCATGCCTTGAAAATTGTTTTTAAAATGAAATAAGTCAGAGAAGACAGTCTCTAGGGCTAATAGTTAGGAAGTAATCATTTAGCAAATTTGCTAATACTGGTTTTTATAAAAGATGCTATTCATTCACTATTATTTGTATTCTTATGTTTTAAAACTCAAAACTGTTAAAAGGTTATTTGGCATTTGACATTAACTGACATCTCTAAAGTAGGTTGGGGATTAGTTTGGTCGTCAGCATGGAAATTATTGAGATGGTAATTATAGTGGGCGGAGTTTGTGAAACAGAAAAAGAGCGCGATCTCCAGCTCGAAGCTTTAAGAGCAAGGTAAGATTTAAGTAATGTGGCAATGCTACTACTTGTCTTTTCTCATCAAACTGCCCGATTTTGAATTGAGTTGCTATAATTTTCTTGAATCACATCAAACCAATCGAATTTGATTAGACTGGAACCATTTAAAGTTTTCAACACAACAGGCAACATGCAATAAGCTATGCTATTCTTATTAGCATGTATTGCTATTATTATTGAACGGTTGTTAGATCAATATTACATTGTAGCACACTTTTTTAAAATTATTTTTTGGTGGCTGAAAAAAAAACTTAATAGGGTCTGTTTTTAAAAGTCAAAGCCATCGGCAATTGTGTTACATTGGCAGTTATGAGTCATTAATTAATTTATTCTACTGATGGTGAAACTTAAAGTAGGCCACTCATTCATCAAATATGGGAATGGGAGTGCTTATGGGAGCTTTGAACTCTTGTGTCACAATAGAAACAAGTAAATATGTATTTCCATTTTTAAAAAACACATTGTGTAGTGGTAGATACCATTAAGCAATGCACTGGCCAGTCAATGATCAAGACATAATATACTATCAATGAGAAGGCAGGTAAATGCTTTAAATCTTTTTTTTTTTTTTTTTTTTTGCTTTAAAAAATGTCTTGTGCAAACTTGCTTTCAATTCAGTGATAACAAACGTGCAAAAAAATTATAAGCTCTAGCGGAACTTCTGCCAAAACCTTTAAAACAAGTATTCTGATCAGAGATGCTTTTGTTTATAGTAAGTGGTATATTATACCTTATTAAAATAAGGTATTTTCTAATTCATTGTTGAATAAATGAATGTAAATCAAAAAACATTTTTAAGTATCTTAATTAGTTAATCTGAGTAAGGTGTTTTCTGTTTCTAACATTTTTTATTAGCTTTTCTTTCAAAACTGCAAGTGATTATCATTATTTTTTTATAAGATTGTGCAAATGGCACAACCTTAATCGTCATTATCAGCAGATTTGAACTTTCACATCATGTCTTTTTTTTGTTTCTTCTTTTAATCAGGGTTTGATGAATTGGCGGCTTCGCAGTGGGTAACGTTATTGCCTCAAAGCAAGAAGATCCCTGGTTCGTGCCTCGGCTGGGTCAGTTGGCATTTCCTCCTTTTCAGTCTTAAACATTTTAGGCATGATAATAACACAAAAACCACAAATCTTTAAATTACTTATTTCTACATTTTCCAAACCACTGATATATACCATATAATAATGAATAATGTTGCTCTTAAACAGCTGAAACACAATCTCTTTCAGTATTATACTCCTTATTTGGTCCCTAGTGAAGTTTTCTGCAATTTTCAAAGGCTTTTTAAGATATGAATATTTTTATCAGATTATATGATCCATATCTATTAGTTTTCTTTTATCCTATTAGTTTTTTCCTTTTTAGCTGACCTGACTATGGTTCAGTGATTACTAAGAATCCTGCATTAAAGGCACTTTTAAATTTTTTAAGGCCTATAAAAACATAAAAAGAGGAAGATGCATTCATTGAATAACACACTAATGGAGTCATGTTTTATCACCAGACATATCTGTGGTGTTTTTGATGGTATTCACCACAAAACTAAAGCTATTGTGGCCCTAAAACATAATGTGGCCTTCTTTTCATAACAAGAAACTTGTTGTTAATAAATGAGTTGTTTATTATAAACCTGCATGCATTACATTAAACACATTAAGCAGACTTCGTAACATTTTTAATACATGATCTCTCTATTAACCGAAATGTCCCTTTATCTAATGCAGTATGAAATACTGGCAAAGAAACCCTTTAACAAAGCTAAAGAAAGATCTTCACATATCAAGTCCTCCTTCTATTCGCAGCCATACAAAAATGGCATTTGCAGTAATGAAAAGCAATTGTTTTAAATGTAAAACACTTAAATGCCCATGATGTGTACAAGTTGAGAAGAAATTCAAAGTCTAAAGAATAATACATGAGCATTAATTGGTAAAGCTAAGAGTAAACATCGGTGTCAGGTTTTTGAAGTGGTTTCATTGAGGTGACCCAGTGCTGAGCTCATCACACCACTTCTCGTACGCCCTAAACAGAGAGCCTTCATCAGTGTCATTGAAGATTTCTGTGAGAGAAATGAGAAGAAATAAGATCACTTTAAATATAATTCAACTTGCAATTCAAGCATGGACTGTGTTTTGACGTTTTGCAGCATGCTGTTTAAAAAGCAAATGCATTTGCACTCATATGTGTGTCCATAGGCTTTCTGGTCTAAAAAAGGAGATGTGTTGAGGCGCATTGCTGGCGCGCTGCTATTTTGAGGAACTATAATAGACTGCACAATACACTAGATCAAAGCTGGTATAGAGTTTAGCGCAAAGCGCGTTATTTGTGTCTCGCTTACACACTGCTTAACACACACAGCATGTACAGCAATACACAAATATCTTTACAAATGAAAAAGAATTAAAGGATTAAAATATTACAAAAAATATTATTTTCTAGCCTACACAAATATAAAATGCACAGCCTCCATGCCTTTCTCATCCCAGGGGATTTTTTAGTTTATTCATGACAATTTGCTTTTGTATAATGTCATTATTAGTTGTAGTATTATTTAATATATGCATATTTATCTTTGTTTTATTAAAAACAAGCTTAGATTTGGCCACCTGTCAGGTTTAAGACCATATAAAGGCAAAGCATGTGTATTTGGATATAACAGTTTTTGAACAAATTTTTTTATTATTGTTCATTTATTCATTTGCTGGAAAATAAAACTGAATTTAGAAATAGTTGTAAAATAAATCTTTGGGCTTAATAAACTAAATTAATTATGTATAGGCTAATGGATGTCTTTGCGAACAACACGTTTCCCTATCCACGAGAGCGAAAGTGAAAGTAAAAAATGTTTAACCCTGTTAAACTGTTTTCTCGCTAGCAAAGCGCTCAGTTTTTCCACTTACAAAGTCCGCCATGTAAATAGCAAATGTGCCATGGCGCGACGAAACTGACTCTTAAAGGGAATGGGAGATGAGACTCTGATTGGTTTATTCTCAAAACACACCTATAACTCATTAGGAGAATAAGCTCAACCCTGTTAGAACATGCGCCACAGCGCAAAGCAGATTGTTCCATCCTTAAAATAGTAAAAGTGGATTCGGACATGCCCTTAATGCTTTTGCGCCCTGCACTTTGGACTTTGCGCCTGGATCGTCAAAATAGAGCCCAACAAGTTTGTTTGTGAAATAGACCCATGAACTTAATTTTTATACTAAAATGTATTCAAATTTATGACCACTCATACACAAAAAAGCACATATAATACAATGCTGTGTGGATAAAGATGTTTTGTGCATATTTTATGCAAATGACCTGCTTATATTTGTGCATTTTTATGCTCTTGACTACTAATTTACTATACTCCAAATTAACCAACATAAAAAAGAACAATTTTGTGGAAGTACACATAAATGCAGATCTATGCAATTATTTGCACCCGATTTGAATGTTATCACTCGATAGAATGAACGTTTTCAGTGGCTATCAACTGATGGATATGGACCAGTAGGGGCCTTTTGCACCTAATGGTAGGCTCAAAAGGCTGTAATCATGCATCCACATGGTTAATCAGCTATACTAATAGAGAAGACTCTAGATCTAGATATGTTTTTACATTACTGTGACAGTTGGGTTTAGGGTTTGGGTGAGGGGCAACATTAATAAAATACATTTAATGGGAAATTCCCAGAGATGGGTTGCGGTTGGAAGGGCATTCGCTGCGTAGTAATGTGCTGGATAAGTTGGCGGTTCATTCCGCTGTGGCGACCCCGGATTAATAAAGGGACTAAGCCGAAAAGAAATGAATGAATGAATTTACGGGAAATTTAATAATAATATCAATAATTCTCATGGTTATTCCGGTATACTAATAGAGAAGACTCCAGATTCAGATCTGTTTTTACATTACTGTGATGGTTGGGTTTAGAGTTAGGGTCGGGGAAGATGTTAATAAAATACAATTAATGTAAAATTTAATAAATGATATAAATAATTCTTGTTAACTTCCAGCCACAACCATATTTGATCTATAGTTGATTAACCATATGGATGGGTGATTAGATTATCCTACTGGCCCATATCTATCAGCTGATCACGACTGATAATTCAGTCAAGTGATAACATTCGAATCGACTGATTATTTGTAAATGAGACCCACTTTTTGCATTTAAGTAAATGCATTAAAAAAGACACTATAATTGTTCAGTTTATATTGCAAAGATAATGATACCTAATGCTGCTCTGCATTCGTTAGAAGTTTGGTTTCCCTTTGTGGAACGAGAAAACAGACTACTGAACCAACTGCCAGTATTATTGTAAATAATAACAAAAAGTAAATTTACAACAAAATGTTTTACAGTATATATTACTACCTATATCTGCCATGTCAAAGAGCTATGGTTTTTAGCCCTAAAATTCTCATCTCTTTTATGACCTCTTACTGTTCCGAATATTCGCCAAAAGTGGTCCGCATATGTTTTAAAATAACTGGGCCACATTTGCCATATCTTCTCTGGGCTGCTTTAGGCTCACAGCCACATTAGCCATAGCTTACTGTGCCAAATATTTGGCAAAAGTGACCCACATTTGTTTTAGGATAACTGGGCCACATTTTCCATATCTTCTTTGGGCCATTACAGGCTAACCGCTGCATTAGCTAGAGTTTACTGTGCCGAATGTTTGCCAAAAGTGGCCCACATATGTTTTAAAAAGCTGGGCCACATTTGCCATATTTTCTCTGGCCCACATTAGGCTCACAGCTGCAATAGCCAGAGCTTACAGTGCTAAATATTTGCCAAAAGTGGCCCACATATGTCTTAAGATAACTGGGCCACATCTGCACCTACACGTGTGAATTACTTCAGGTTTAGACTCAGATTTTTGCCAACTGTGACCCACATTTGTCCTCCATCATTTGGGCCAAATTTATGATTTTCCACTTGGGCCACATTAGGCTCACATTCAGATTACATTTTGACATAAGTGCCATATCTTTGCCGTAAATGGCCCATATATGAATTGGAATATATGGCCCCCTTTAGCCATTGTATAGGTGGGCCACTTCAGGCTCACATTCATTTCGTCTGGCAGAAGGAAAACCACCAGTTCTGCATAACTGCCTAAAGTGGCCCACATGCGTATGCTATCTGGGACAGCTCTCGTTTCATGTTCTCGTTCTCTGCTGTTATTCGTTTGGGGAGTTCACGTGCAGCTTTTTGGTCCGCAGGCGATCTAAAGCAAAGCGACCTCACAGTTGGGTTTTGTTGGTGCTAGTTATTTGCTGTAGGCTTGGTATGTCCTGGCCCTAAAAGTTGATTAACTGGTTTACTGTATGCACACAAAATTTTAGTTTGTTGTACTACATGATTTGCATTTAACATTTTTTAAATTCTGCCAACAAGACTAGTTAAAATGATAACTGACATTGCACCGAGATGACGTAAGCAGCGACGAACCCTTTGTTTGGTTTTGTTGCCAACTGTTGCCACCTGTCTTATGTTTAGCCTCCATTTGTCAGGTTGTGAAATGTTTGAGATGTGACACACTTTAATGTGATGATTGTCTATGGTTATGTGAATAATTTCTCATTTTTAAGATTTGACTTAATATATTACCTGCTCTTCCGAGGCCTGTTGGTAAAGGCATTCTCACGAGGCCTCCAGAATGCTGAAGTCTGTCACACAGAGACTTCTGCACCAAAGCAAATGTGAAGTCTTGATGCCACACCGGCAGCTCCAGTCCCATCATGCAACAGATGATCCTGAATTTCTCCTCCTCTGTCAGCAATCCAATTTCACAAGACACATACACCATGTAGGCCATATCAATATTCACCGCTTCACCGTGGAGAAGAGCTGGTAGGACTTTCTAAAAAAAATGGGGGGAAAGTTCACATGTAGTTTATGCTGAAGTTGGCATGCATGCAAAATCCAAACCCCAAAATGTGGTATGAGGCATTTAAACATGGAGAAACAATATTTAATTATGAGATTTCCCTTTAGACAGTCTACATTCCTAAAGTAATGTATCTTATGCAAGAAAAGTTTATTGTAAGCCTTGAGGTAAAATACATCAATCATCAACAGTAGACTGTAATTTAAAACCCAACCCAAATCTTGGAAAGTGCTTGATAGCACAGGTGAAGAATTGAAGATACCATCTCTAGTTGAGGGCTTATGAGGTGCCCAAAGTCAACCAGTCTGTCAAGATCATCCTCCCACAGGTTTGGGGCTAACTCTTCTAGCATGGTTTCTATTGCGACACGTGTAGAGACAGAAGCAGGGTCAATGCGGTCGTTCTCTAGGACTGAAGCAGACTGGAACTTGGAGTCTAAGAGGAACTGTCCGTGCACTTCCAGGAGTTCAAACAGCCCTCTGTGCTTCATAAGAGCCATCTACAAGAATAGGAATAGACTTCAGTGAAATGTACTATTTATTGCAGTCACTATGACATGTTTGTCAATATTTCAAAAACTTTACATGGATCAGCTTACAATTTTTAGCATAGCACAGTAGTTGAATTTGAATTGAAATTGCACTTGTCCAGTGTTGGGCAAAAGTTACTCTGAAAGTAATGCATTACAATATTGAGTTACTCCTCAATAAGTAACTTTTTACTTTTTATTGTAAGTAATGCGTTATGTTACTTTTGCGCTACTTTTTCTGACCTAGCTGAGGATTAATGACTTTGGATAAAACATCTCTCTTTAAATAGTGAAGCTCTGCAATTATAAACACACTGTATAACATGCATTTACCTTTAAAAAACACATAAAAAATGAATGTGGGATATTATCTTCAAAGAACTTCCTGACCCCAGAGTTCTACATGCCATATATACAGATTAGTGAAAGTTTAAAGGGATGGTCCTGAGTGTATTTTTAGGGTTTGGCTTTGTTTATAAAATGCAAAGCAAAATGCATAGCAGTGTATGCTCATGCTTTATTTGTAAAAATCATGTTTTTTTTTCATATATTTTACTTTGATTATATACTGCTATTCAGCTAACATGAAAATGACTGTCATATTTTCTAGTGCCTCCGAAAGCCCGCCCTTAAGAGGCTCTGATTGGTCAGCCAACATAATGTGATGTGATTAGTGGATCAGCTCCACATCACCAGGTAGTGTCTCTGTTATAACATTGCATTGCCTCTGGCCACGCCCCTTCGCTGTGCAGGGTGTATGCGCATAATCAAAGGGTTTAAGACATCATTAACCCAGATGTATTTTTTGTAGTCCCCAAACTTTGCTTGGTGTAGGCTTTGCTAAGTTGACTCTGTAAAGCCAATGTCTCCCTTTGCATTGAACTTTGAGCGGCTTACATTCAGACATTTATGTTCACACAGCTACATTACATCTCCACTAAAGTTTAAAATATGATAGTGGACCACCCCTTTAAAGCTACTTTTGAGCTATTTGCCTTATGAAAAACTAAATTCACTGTCCATTCAGATATTCCTCTTTTCCTTTTTCTCCATGTGTTCATAATATTGAGGATATTTGAGAAATGTAAGGCTCTGCTGTCTTCATTTCTGTCTATCCCTGCATTCTCTCCTTGAGTGCATGATTCAACGTGACTACGATAATTTTAATTCAGCAATTTATTTATTAAAAGTGAACTCAACTAAAAAGTAACTTGCATTACATTTTTTAAAAGTAACTTAAATATTATAACTTAATTTTGAAAAGAAATGTGTTTTACTCTTTACTGGAGTAAAATACTTTACTTGTTACTCATGATGTAAAAGTAATATTATTACGTAACTGGCATTATTTATAATGCGTTACCCCAACACTGTCTACAGCTACCAAAACTATACATCAAAGTCTCCAAAATATTCAAGTTTTTAGCCTTTTGACGCTCAGTTTCAGATTTCAAGTTTACATTGGTGTGTAAAAGTGTAAATGTTCTCCCCATTCATGTAAGCCAAAATCACGAAAGGCACTTGAAAAACTAACAGTGCTTTTGGTTGTTTTATTTTTTATTTTTTAAAAAGTAGAATATTGTGCATCGAATTGTGCAATGGGGTTTATAAAGGACAATAAATAAATATATAGATTCAGCTTTGTATTTACATTCACATAGACATACAGTTGAAGTAAAAATTAGTAGCCCTCTTGGGATTTTCTTTTGTCAAATATTTCCCAAATGATGTTTAACAGAGCAAGACATTGTTTACAGTGTTTTCTATAATATTTTTCCTTTGAAGAAAGTCTCATTTGTTTTATTCCGGCTAGAATAAAAGCAGCTTTTAATTTTAATAAAACCATTTTAAGGTCATTATTATTAGCGACCTTAAGCATTATTTTTTCAATTGTCTACAGAACAAACCACTGTAATACAATGACTTGCCTAATTACCCTAACTAGCCTAGTTAACCCCATTCATTGACATTTAAATGTCACATTAAGCTAAATATCTTGAAAAATATCTAGTAAAATATTATTTACTGTCATCATGGCAAAGATAAAATAAATCGGTTATTAGAAATGAGTTATTAAAACTATTGTGTTTAGACCTGCAGAAATTGGGAAAAATATAGAGGAGGCTAATAATTCTGACTTCAACTGTATTTGAGTCTTTATGAATAGGTGACTCAATTTAAGTGATGAGAAACAAATCATGGAAACTTGTAGAAAAATAATGCTTCAACAAAGACTAAAACACTCCAATGTACCTTCAGCATTTCTGCAAGACCGTTAGCTATGTGCCTGCGAGGAATGCTCTGTATAAACGACCGGTCCAGGAATGCAGCAACAGGTGCGATGTAGGTGCCAAGTTTGTTCTTACAATTGGCGAAATTGACACCTGTTTTGGCTCCGACACTGGCGTCAATGTAGGACAGTAGAGTGGTGGGAACACGAATGTATGGAGTGCGTCTTCTGTAAAGCGACGCCGCCAGACCCACGATATCCAGGCAGACGCCCCCTCCAATGGCGATAATGGGCTCCGTGCGCCGGTCGATCCCAAACTGGTGCACCTCCTCCAGGATCTTCAGGGCCATATCCATGGACTTGTTCTCCTCTGTCGTGGGCAGGGGCAGGATCCGGTACAGGACATTTCTGGCCTCGAGGTATTCGGTGACCTGAGAACCATAGATATTGTACACTACCTCATCCATGACTATGAAGCGTTTTAAGGGTTTGGTGTTGGACCGTACGGCCTCAAGCTGCTGAGTGTCAATGATGTGGCCCAAAAGCAGAGTGTCATTGCTGGGGTCAAGAAGGTTTTTGGTCTGAGTAACAGTATATGTGAAGGTGATGGGGGTGACCACTGTCCAGGTAGTGCCACTAGAGGAGCTGCTTTCGTAACTGCAACATATAAAGCTCGTAACTCAATTTGTTGCTTGGTGTTGATTGGAAATTTAAATGTTAAATTAAATATTACTAAAATGTTCCTGCTTTCCATCTAATAAAACATTTTTAATTTATTAAAAAATGCTTGTAGAAAGATATTTAACCTTTACATTATTTTGGAGCAAGAGCATAATATAAGGTTATATGCAGATTAAGTATAAAGTAAGATTTTTAAGGGACTGTTTTTAATTTATTTGTTTATTTTATGGCGATCAGTAAATTGCTGTAGGACTGTAGGTCTATTTCTAGAAAGATTTTTTTTATCACTGATTTACACAGCACAGAATGTATTATTTCCACATCAAATTCACTTACACAATAACAGGATTTTTTTCAGTTTAAACAAAATGTGTCATACATTAAAGGTGCAGTAGGTGATCTGCCAGAATGCCATCCATTAGCATAATAGCTTTGAAAACACAGTCCCTCCCCTGTCATCCAAAGCCAAGCTTCCTGAAATTACAAATGTGCACCTTAAAGATGACAGCGTGAGGGGAACAGCTGTATGAAGTCCAAAAATTACATTCTTAATCATCTGTTTCTAAAAGGTCTGTCTCTAAATGTGAGGGGGACATATCTGCCTAAACCAATGTGAATACAAAATCAACTTCAGCTCATCAAAGCAGGCTAGGTGGAGTAGAGCTATATACTTTTGTTTAGTTGTTAAACTAAATATACAAGCACAAATGGCGAATCTGTGTGAACGGGGTGCACAGATGTACAAATCTAGATTTGTTGACAGACAGTTTGGGCTACTTATCAGAATTATGGTAATTGTCGGCCTGACAATTTTTAACTGGATGAACATTTTTTAGTCTTATGCTTTACCCAGAATATAAAAATACATTAAGGTATTTTTATATTATTATTATTATTAGTATGTTTAGATAATTTACTTTTATTATTACTATTGGAATGTGAAGAGACTTTCTACAACCACAACAAAAGATGTTTCTGAAGACAATCACCTACTGCACCTTTAAATGTTTTGATCCCTTCAATCTTTTCTTTGCGGTGTGTAAACAGTAAACCCTATAGGTGCATAATAAATATAGACAGGTATCTATACTGACCGATAAATACATTTATCTATTGCTACAGTCCAATATATTTATATAATAAAGACAATAAAATATGGATAATAATTCATTCAGTAATTACAAATGATAAATATCAGATGCTTATTTTTAATGTCATCAATATCGGTCAAAAGCTAAAAATCAAGTCAATACATTAAAGCTGATAATTGATGGATGATCCCCTTCAGAGGTGTTCTGCTGGCCATGAGGGTATGGTTGGTGCATATTTATGTTATATATTCTATTAACTGCGCCATCAAGAAAAAACATTTTGAATTGCATTTCTTAACTCCTAATGTTGCTAGTTAACTCACTGAATGCTTTTTACTTCAACACATCCCATAATAAAATATACTAAATATATCAACCTCTACCAAATGGTTGATAAGTCAGTTTATTATAAAAGCACCATTATAATATTAAAAATCTGAAAATATGAAGTGTAAGACCAATTTGTTTAATAACAAAAAACATAATCAAAATAAAACATTTTTAAATACTAAATCATCCTAATTTTTTTAAGTATGCCATAAAATATTTCAGATTCTCATTTAACATGTTTTCTTATATATATATATATATATATATATATATATATATATATATATATATATATATATATATATATATATATATATATATATACATATATATATATATATATATGAGCAATATCACACGAGTAGCAGTGCGATATGGCTGTATATCAGCACAGCACTGGTGGGAGGCATGCGTTGGCATGAGGCCGCAGGCCAAAACCAATACCAAAACCAAAATCAAGCGTAGTAGTGCAACAGAATTATGTTTTTGATTATTATTATTTTTTGTTTGTAAACAAACAATGCTGTGTGTGTAAACCATTATTTAAAACAGTCATTCTTTAAAGTTTCCACATTGGTGACTCCCCAAACTCTGACTACTTTAATTTATTTGCTCATCTCATTCATTTTACATCGACAAGCACTGTTGGACATCTGATGCGACAAGCAAGAACAACCTATAAGTTTTGTCATCCTAACAACAAAATGTGTATTAAAGCGTTCATTAAAGTGATTTTTAAATATTGGGGTAGAAAATCTGTCTCTTTGTAATTACCTAGAGACACTGTAGTAACATAAACTATTAAGCCACTACCCTAAAATGATAAAGCCTGCTTTGCATTAGCAATGGATATGTGATATGCAAAGTTCATATTTGACTGACTTGACTGGCTTAACCATGAGTTTTTTCTGTCTAACTGTAGAGTTAGTATGATAAAAAGAGGAATATAAAAAATGTATGAACTTTAAGTTAAAGTAATATTTTTCATGAAATGTTATTAAATGCCAAAAGTAATTAAAGTTAACTAAAAGTAATTTATATTTAACACATTTAGTTACACTTTACAGTGTTTTTTGTTAACATTCAATGATAGATAATACAACATAAATTAATCTTTGTTGATACTAGTAAAAATATTTGATCATGTTGATGATTTATGTAGTGAATGAACCAATCAAATGATATCATGATTGTAAGTAAAAAACAAAATTAAATAACACATGATCCATAAGACCTTCCATAAGCTAAAACATTACTCATGTATTTTGTAAAATATTTTAAGTGAGTAAAAAAATTAAACTGACCACAGATTGTTGCAGTTTTTCATAGCAGGACTAATTTGGACTTCATATGATCGTTGCACATTCTGTGCCATATTGAAATGGATTTACCCTTAAAACTAATTGATAAAAGGCATACCTGTCAACGCATTTAAAAATTCAATAATTACTGTTCTCTAAATGAAACACTTTTGATTAATACGCACATTTTAGCCGGTGAAACTCGTCCTTTCATTCCTTGCTTGGCATTTTGCCCTGCTTTGCGTTTCCACGTCCCCTTCACCTGCACCAGGCTGAAGACAGTCTCCTGCTTGTTGTGGTTCTCCATCGTCGAGTTGTCCCGGTGAACAGATGGCAGGCGAACTTCTTCAGGTGAACTCACTGTAAATGTCTCCCCGGGTCGCTCCATAGTTCAGGCGTCAATATATTATGACTTGAGGCGCATCAGCAGGAGGAGCTTGCGCGAGAAACTTATGAAAGTTTCTCCCTCTCCAAAACCCGCTGTCTCTCACTAAACTTGAACTTGCATAACTCATCTTCACTATAAGATTAGTAGCGATGGCCTCACGTGCACGAAACACCCGGAGGCGAGTGTTATGAAATATGGCGTTAGGTGAGCTATATAATCAACGGTTAATGTTATGTATTACGCGATTATGCAAAAAAAATAAATAAATAAATAAATAAATGAATTAAAAAAAAAAAAAACAATAACACACACGCGCACACACACATTTAGACGATTTATCTTGTACCAAAGTGTACTATATCAACCACAGGCTACTACTTTCATTATATAGTCTGAATGTGCTTTGAAGACAGAAGCTTTTTTTCAGTATGTTTAAAAGAATGCCATCACAGTTATATGATGGTAGAGCTATTTATTATTTATTTCTAAGCTGCAATGGTAATCATCCATTGTAAAGATGACTCATTTTTAAAATCCTAATTTTAGACAGTTTGAATCTAAATCAAATAAATCAAATAAAAAACACAATCAAGTAAATAATTAGCATGATCATAAATGGAAATAAACAATAATAAAACAAGACAAAGGAAATACATTTTAGGTGTGAAGTAAAGCTGGTTAAACTGGTTTGATTGTTTGATAAGCAACCACATGCACTGCAAACTCAGAGCACATCTCAGTTTTCATATCTAGCTTATATAATATTTACTAACCCCTATAACTTACCCATAGCTTGCTTAGATAAGTACACTGTAATTGTAACTACTGCATGTACTGATCCTTTTTTAATTGCAGTTGCAGTTATGCTCTATGACAATGTTTTGATTTTAAAGAGTAAATTGTGCGGTGGAGAATAGTGTTATGCACTTTTGGATTTTATTGGAAGTCATGCGTACTAAAAAAAATCATTTGATTTTTTTTATTGCATGCCTTTGCATGTCATGTAGACTTCATCTGATCTTTGGAATTGCTTGAGGTCAAGTTTCTATTTTTACTCACTTACAACTATTAATCTCTAACATTACTTTTATTCCATTATCAACTATAAACAGAAACATAGATTAAATATCTAAAGAATAAAGTTATATGCACACAAACAAAGCCTAGGCTATAGCTTTACAAGGCGTAGCCTTTAAGATTAATATATTGATGAAAACCCTGTCTTAGACAGTCAAATGAGCCAAACCTTGTTCCTCATGATTAAAAAAAATATAGCAATCATTAACATATTTGACAGAGCAGGTTGAGATAACGTGACCGCATTGGGGCACTGTGCCCGGGTCACTGCGACCCGGGTGACCCATACACAGTTACATAGTCAGTGCGCTGCGCGCGCACACGCGAGCAGCGTGGCAGGCAGCTATAGAAGCGGAGCAATGCACTCAAGGCGAAATCGTTACCTTGTGTAAGTTTGTGACGCGCTCATTTGCATAAACTGTACATGTAGGGTGGGTTTGTTCAACGGGGAACACGGCCAACACAACCAAGCCCTCCCTACTAAAACTACACGGATTCGCCATGCAGACAGCAAAAGGTAGGAATGTTTACGTGGGTCTGTTGGAGCTCGCTAAATGACAAACCAAACCGCAGTTTTCTGAAATAACGTCTGTTTTGCTTGCTGGAGCAGTGCTAATGCGTGCTTAATATTGTCTCATAAATCTAGCTGAGACTTACTAACGTTATCAGGACAGCCAAAAATAACTTCACAAAGTCACGAGTGGGATTCCAGTCTGGGTTAGTGTTGCTGAACTCGGTCAGTGTACTCCTAATATCAACACGACACGGTTAATAAATTACTTTAGAACACAATAAAAACGAAAACATGTCATGCGTTGATCGTGTTTAACTGTTGTGTTTATGTGTGGAACAGCTCCTCCTGCCGTCAATGCAATTCGCTTCAATCCAGGGAATGAAACAGAACCGTTGCTGAAAACACCTAGTATGAATTATTAACCCACTCCCCCCGAATTATACCCCCCCCCCCCGTTTATTTTTAGTTTTTTTTCTCAACACATTTTAAAAATAATAGTTTTAATAACTCATTTCAAATAACTGATTTATTTTATCTTTGCCATGATGACAGTAAATAATATTTTACTAGATTTTTCAAGACACTTCTGTGCAGCTTAAAGTGACATTTTAAAGGCTTAAATGGGTTAATTAGGTGAACTAGGCAGGATAGGCAAGTTATTGTATAATGATGGTTTGTTTTGTAGACTATCGAAAAAATTAATAGCTTAAAGGGGCTAATAGTTCTGTCCTTAAATTTATTTTTTTAATTAAAAACAAATGAGACTTTCTCCAGAAGAAAAAAATATTATCAGATATACTGTGAAAATGTCCTCGCTCTGTTGAACATCATTTGGGAAATATATATTTTTTTTAAAAAGAAAGAAATTCAAAGGGGGTTTAATAATTTGGATTGCAACTGTACATACATGAATATTCTTTATGTATATATTAAAATGTTAAAAAAAATGTTTTAATTAAAAATCTGAGGGCAGCAGTCTGGTTTCCATATGATCTGTATTTAATTAAATGTATAAACGTTTTATATTCGTAATATTCACATATGAAAACAGGAATGCATTAATTAATTACAAATTTAGAAAAACAAATTGTTATTTTAATAGTACAATTCGTGCAGAAAAAGTATTTTACACATGAGGCTGCGCAGAAAATTCCACAGTTATTGAGAAACAGTAGAGGTCTTTAGCTCCACCCAATGCATTGATCTCACAAAATGCACATGCACTATCCACAGACCTCTCTTTTTAAAGCTTTATTTTTAAATTATTAATAAAAAAATACAATTAAAAAAACCTAAATGACCTGTGTGTCATACACTGGATTGGTGATTAACATGATACAGTATAACATAGAGCCTATAGAAAGTTATACACTCCTAAAATTCAAGTTACTGGAGCAAAGATGACTCGTATATGTATTTGTGTCATGATCTAGAGTTCAATTACAAACCAGTGCAGATACTTTTATAAACAACTTAAGCTGTTGGTCAGTTTAGAACAATACTACAGATAATCATTGATACATTTGACTAGAATGATTTATATTTTTAAGAATGTAATACATTTTATTTGCACCTCAGCTCTAGCTCAATGCTCTACTGTCAAATTTGCAATTCCATAGAGCATGCATGTAATAATATTAGTCACTGGAATTTAGACAAGCCAATATTCAATATATTGTGATTATAAACATGCACTGAATATATTGTGAACAGTTCAAAATATTGTGCATAATTATTAATTATTATGATGATAATCATATTAAAAGCTTCTGCCGTTAATAGCAGCAAGAAAATTAGATAGCAGGAAAAGCCTACTTGACTAACACCTCTAACCGCACAATGACAATCTAGTTATTTACTTTCTGAATATTAGTTTCAGACACTCCTGTGGAGTTCATCGTTGAACACCTGCTGAAGGCAAAAGAGATCGCAGAGAATCATGCAAGTATTCCAGTCGAACTTCGGGATAATCTTCAGAAGGCTTTGGACATCGCTAGTGGACTAGACGAATACCTTGAACAAATGAGCAGCAAGGAGAGTGAACCGTTGACTGAGTTGTATAGGTAACTTACTATTCCCCTGAGATATATAGTGTGGGTTAAAGATCCTTAATATATGTTTGTGTTTAAACAGTTTTTAATAGTGTTTAAATAGTGCTGTTAGCATGCATTATATTACTGTTTTATGAAGTCAACATTGACCCAAGACAGAGCATGGGGATTGTTTAACAGTTTTTGGACAACTTTGGTGGTAGATTTTACAGTTTTTTTTGTTTGCTTTGCCTTTGACCTGGGTAAAGAAACCAGGTTCCACTTCATTTTCATTATCACTATCCCAGCAGAGCAGAAGACAGGTCTTGCAAATGTGTCAACCCTTTCTCTTTAGGTTGACACATTTTCCCCACCATTTTTCAAAACAGTTAACACAGATGTCATTCAAGCAGTCCAAACCCCATTGTTTTAGCTATGGCAACCAAACAGAGACCATCTATTCTTTATCATTTAAAACTACCAAGATCAGTACGAATTCACTGAAACACTGGTTTGACACTCTTTCACAGAAATTTTCATTTAGCAATCAGTCTGCAAACATTGAAAAAGGTGGAAGGTCTGTGTTGTTCTGTGCCAGCATGGATGGAGGAAGTCAGTAGTGGCTACATCCTATACTCCCAATAGATTTGACTGTATATAGGTTTTTACATGTGTTTTCTCTAAAATTAACAGTATTTTATTACTTTTGTCTGTTTTAAAAAAAAAAAAATTATACAGTTTTTCAGTTTTCAGCCACAGTTTCAAAAATTTTCCGAATTCAATATAAATTTAATCAAAGCATTTCTTATTCTTGATCCAATTCTTTGCAAAAAGGTAAATTTGACAGCCCAAATAAAGACAACAAACGGCATTGGCAATAGACTACAATGTCAAGCAATGGTGCACTGATTCACACTGAGTTCTATATTTTGTTTTTTGTTGTTCGTTGTGTAATGATTAATTGAAAGAGCTCATATACTTGTTTGCAAGTTGTGTTGTTTGAAGGTAAAACTAGCTTTTGTTGCATACTGTAAATGTTTTGACACGGTATGTGCATTTTGAAAACACAATGTGTCATTTGGACCATGAGTGCTGCTGTTTAGGCGTGCGTGTTAACTGTTTTGAAAATGTGGAGTTTCAGTTGACGGCTGCATCAAAGCAATCAAGAAAAACTGTAATTGACTTCAGTTGTTGAATATTATATATGCAGTATCCACTTTATACGTTTCAATATTTTTTTCCTGAAGGAAATCAGTTTCTCATGACTGGAATAAGGTGCATGCGGACGGAAAAACCTTATTTAGGCTTCCTGTTACATGCATCACCGGACAGGTAGAAGGTATACATTTTTTAAAATACACATCATTTAAAGTTTAATTGCAAAACTTACTCAGTACTGTAATAGTTTTGAGTATTGATGCATGATGTTTTCATGGGTGCACACAATCTCTCAACAAAGAAGTTTTAAGCTACCATGATGGGA